TAGTAAAGTTGAAACCGACACGTCACGAGAATCGAGAAATCTTGACAGTCAATGGAACTAAAGTCCAGACAATGCCAATCTTTGACACCCATATTACGTCCCTGGACGGAAAATCATGCGAAAAGGTGGAATTCACTGGATCGAAGTTAGCTGATTTTACTTCAGTGAGAAGGCCAGACATGAATCAGCTGAAGTTGAAGTACTCACATACACAAGACAAGCGGTTCTACATGACGTCCACAGGAGAACATTAGATACACCTCATTCTCGGAGACGGTGTTTATAGTAGAATAAGGACGGAGAGGGTATTCAAAGGACACCCGGGAGAGCCGCTGGCAGAGGAGACAACCTTCGGTTGGGTGATCCATGGGGTAGACGAATATGAGAGTGGAAGCAGCTGCATGTACATAAGCGAGGTTAATGACTATGAGAAACTGTACAGTTTGGATGTACTGCGGGTCCAGGACCAGGGACCGAACGATCAGCTGGATGTTCTGCGTGACTTTAAAGAGGGTGTTGTCAGAAGGCATGATGGAAGAAATGAGGTTGGTTTTCCTTGGATACCGGGAGTTACATTAACGAACACAAATGAAACACTTATCAGAAAGCGGCTCGAAAACGTGGAGAGAAAGCTGTCAAGAGATAAGAAACTGAAAGGAGAGTTTGGTGGCATTATTGAAGAGCAACTCAGAGCAGAGGTAATCGAGGAAGCACCTCAGATTCCGTCTGGAAAACGTGTATTCTACATGCCTCACAAGCCAATTGTAAAGCAGAGTGCAGTTACGAGTACGGTTTGCATGGTGTTTGACGCAAGTGCTAAGGCCCAGCCTTTGACTTACAGCAGCAATGATTGCATGTTCACTGGTCCTCCGTTGCGGCCGCTTCTTTGGGACATAATGGTTAGAGTGCGAATGTCCGCAAGTCTGCTCCTTGGAGACATAGAAAAGGCATTTCTTCAGATAGGTGTGAAAGAGGAGGATAGATATGCAGTCAGATTCTTGTTCTACATTAAAGGAATAGAGAAACATTTAAGATTTACACGTGTACCTTTCGAGGTTGAAGCAAGCCCTTTCCTACTAGGAGCAACTCTGCAGCATCACTTTGAACAACAAGGGTCAGAATTTGAAGAGATAATGAGAGCACTTAAGGAGAACACTTATGTTGACAATCTCATGCAAACGGGAGGAAATGTAGAGAAACTCGTGCGGTTCAAAGAAGAGAGTACTGCCATACTTGAGTCTGCCAGGTTTCCGGTGCACAAGAGGGAATCTAATGTGAAGGTTCTTGAAAGTGAAGGCATGCCAAATCCAAGCAAGATCCTTGGACATGTATGGAATAAGGATGATGACACACTGGAGCTGCTTGCAAAGCCTTTTCCACAAGAACAAACAGTCACCAAGCGCACTATACTCAGTTACCTGGGAACTGTCTATGACCCACTCGGGATAATCTCGCCCACCATGGCTGAGGGAAAGCATATTTATCGAGAAGCCTGCGATGAGAAGAAAGGCTGGAATGCAGAAGTTTCCCCCCAGATTGAAGAACCAATGGTTAAGGTGGACGAAGCAACTTAAAGATGTAAGGGTGCCCAGCAGTATTGCTTTAGTTGTCGGAGGGATAGGAGCAGTCCATTTACATCTTTTCGCAGCTGCCAGCATCCTAGCATGCTGCACAGCAGCTGTTGCGGTGGTAGAACACGAGGCAGGCGTGACCAAAGGACTTCTGACCTCAAAGTTGCGGATTTCAAAGAGAAGTACATCGATAGCAAGACTGGAGCTCGTGAGTGGCCACATGGCAGTAAACATGGCGAAGAACCTCAGCACGGCTCTCCAGCGTTGGCCCATCCAAACCATCAACATTTGGGTGGACAGCATGGTAGCACTATATTGGATAACTAATCCCAGGAGAGGATGGAAGGCGTTTGTGTCAAACAGAGTAAAGAAGACAGCAGAAACTGCGGGTCCAATCAAAATCACTTGGAAGTACTGCCCATCAGAGTTGAATCTAGCTGACCTCGGGAATAGAGGGGCAACCATTGTGAAGATGGAGAGAGGAAACTGGTTTGCTGGTCCGGATTGGCTCTTGGACAAAAGGTGGTGGCCGGAGCAGCCAAGGCTGAATAGCACCAAAGAAACAGATGAAGAGAGTTAAGTGACCCAAGAAGCAGTCCTTCGCACACAAGAGCGCATGATCGATGAGTGGGATGCTTTGCTAGAAAGAAGCACCTACTGGCGTACAATGAGAGTAACAGCATGGGTGTTACGTTTTATCAGAAGCTACAAGGCGAGAAGTAGGTCTAAGAAGATGTCAGGTCCATTAGTTACGGAAGAAATCACAACTGAAGTGACTACTGGGTGAAGCGAATTCAGAAAGCAGACGAAACATGTCTGAAGTCCCCAGGATGGAAGTTGGTCAAAGATGACTGTACAGGAGTTCTCAGGTGTGAAGGCAGAATTAAAGGATATAAGCCGATTTACCTTCCTAGTGGTGTCTTTGTGGAGAAGTTCATTCTTCACATCCGCAATCAGGTCATGCATCTTGGTGTCGCGAACACGATGGCGAGGGTGAGAGAAAACTGGTGGATACCAAAGTTGAGAGTGAAAGTGAAGAAGGACATTAAGAACTGCAACATCTGTAAAGTGTACCCTACCAAACCTTATGGAGTGCCAGCAACTAGCGCTTTGCCAGAATATAGAACTAAGGAGAGGAGACCGTTTGAAAGTAACCGGCGTGGACTTTGCCGGACCTTTCCTGTACAAGGTCAGTAAGCAAGAACAAGGAAAGTGTTACGTCATTATTTTCACCTGTGCCAGCTCCAGGGCGGTCCATTTGGAAGTTGCAAGAACGCAAACGGCTGATGAATTCAAGAGTAAACTGAATGCCTTTATCTCGCGACGAACAAGACCTTGCATCATCATCTCGGATAATGCCAAAACTTTTAAGGCCACAGCAGATTGTATCAAGACGGTGAGGAGAAGTGAGAAGTTGCAGAATTATTTAGCACGTGAGAACATTCGCTGGCAGTTCAATTTTGCAAAGTCACCCTGGTGGGGAGGAATCTATGAGAGATTGATTAAGGAGATAAAGAAGACCTTGCATAAGACGTTGGGGAGGTCACATCTTTCGTATGAAGCATTTCAATCAGTCATCATGGACATCGAAAGGAATTTGAATAATCGCCCCTTGACATATGTTGAAGCACAGAGAGAGAGAGGAAGAGGCGGTACTTACACCAAACATGATCCTGTGGGGACGAGATGTGTATGCGGTAGCAGACACTGAAGGCTCAGATGCAGAGAGGCAAACAAGGATGGCCAAACAATTGGAAAATGCTAAGACCAATGCATGAAAACGCTGGAAAAGTGAGTATGTTCACAGCCTAATGGAGAGTCATAGGCTCAACAAGGTAATGGGAACTATACCTCATGTCGGAGAAATTGTACTCATCATTGGAGACGCAAAGAACCGCGGAGAATGGAGAAAAGGTAAAGTGGTGCGTCTTATCAAAGGCAAAGATGATGTTGTCAGAGAGGTAACTTTGTTACACAAAGGGCACACTATTGACCGACCGCTTCAGTTAGTTTGTCCCTTGGAGATCAGAGCAGTGGAGGATGTTGATAAATCTCAAAGGGGAAGGAGAGATGGAGCTGATGTAGGAGAATGGAGACCAGGACGAGCTGCAGCTCAGAGGGCTACTCAGAGAATTGCAGAACAATTGCAAGAAGAAGAGAATTGATAAACTGAACTGTGTTCGAGTATAAACCCGACTGTCATAGCGAATCGGATTAGTTTCATGTTGCGTTTGATTGTAAAAATTGTGTGCTACAATTTTTAGGGGAGTTGTGTATGAGAGTTTTACCAAGCCTACCACTCACAGTTTTGTGACGTTGAGCAGTACTACCAAATTTGAGCTAGGGCTACCAAATAAGGTGGTGAGCACGTGCGTGTGGAAAAAAGAAAAAGACGGTTGAGAGAGCGCGAGTTTATGGAAAGTTTTTCCATCGAATTTAGTGAGAGTTTCGTGAATTAGATTGAAGCGGAATAAACCAGGAAATTGTGTTATTGTGAGTTCTATGGGCTGTTTTATTGTTCGGCTCAACCGAATGAAATATTTTGTTTCACTGATTTCTCATTATATTGCTGTGTAACTTTTAACATACAGATACATGTATTTTTTTGATCTTCACTTCATCGATTTAGCCTAAAGGGACATCATCAGATTCTGAGAGCATGTTTCTGCTTGGTCTCAGCCTTTAAACATTTAACAGCAACAGATCTGTTATAACCATTATATAGTGCTTGAAATTTAAAAAAAATCCAAGTTGTCCCTATTTCAAAAGCTGGGGAACCAAAGCCGTGAATTTGGTTGCCCTGATGAATCCTTGGTTGACCGGTACAAAAACCCACACATTTAAGTGCACTACTAAAAAAACATCCATTTTTTACGCCGTGTAGAGCTTGAGATGTAATCACATGGCGGTCAAGCTTGAACTAATCCCATAGTTCTTAGTGTGCGGCAATGGTTTTCGTGGAAGTCTGGGTTTAAGTTGTGGGATATTCAAAATGGCGTCTTTGATCTTGATCGCCTCCAGACAAGAAACTTTGTGTTTGTCTCTTACATTTTCGTACCTGGCAATGTTTTATAAAATTAAGAGATATCCAAAACACAGGAAAACGCTTAGCTGAGGCAAATTATTATTAACTTCACACTACTGGACATTGACAAAACAAAACCGTCACGTAGGTCAGGTGCTGTTTATGGTTAATTTATTTTCTATTTTTGGCTGGGTTATCCGTTGTTTTTTCCCTGGACAACCAGCCTCTTAATTTTACTAAAAATTGGTTGCCCGATAAACTTTTTGGTTGTCTCAGACGACCGGACGACCGCTAATTTCGAGCACTGATTAAATGTTTTAGAGATGGGTATTAAAAGATTATGGAGAGATGTTCATCCCCTCCCAAAGGAGGCAAAGAATGACCATAATAAAAACCTCTCTTACCTATTGTAGGCCTTAATGAATGCTGCCACATTATGTGGATTCATGTGCTCTTTGACATCCTTCATAAATTGATCTTCCAACTCCACTTTTGGCTTCCCAGAGTTCTAACAGAGTAGGAAAAATTTAAAGCTGTCACCAATACCGAATGCAATATCATTCAGTTGAACCCTATTGTTGATTTACTTTGCTTTAGTTCACTTAGTAAGAGAACAAGATAATATCACTTTGGTCAGAGAGGGGGTGATGAAAGCAACAAAGTCTGGGACAGAGAAACTATGATCACACAACTTGCAAAGTGGTCAGTTCAGGCTCCCTAAGCCATGCAGGCAGCTCAAATCCCTAATGTTTGAAATTGATCTTGCAAATGACTCCTACCCTTGTTTTTCTATGGCGGTTTAAATATTTTTTCAAAGTAGAACTGTATATCATGGATACCCTCTTTTCTTTTGACTGTGTTGATTTTGCTTTGGCAAAGCCCATTCGAGGATGCAAGGAACTTAAAAAACAAATATAAGTTCATGTGGGAATTGTCTTTGTTGGGACTTACATGGAAACTTTTGAGCAACATGATCAGCAAAATTTAAGCTTTTACAAACTGAAGTGTAAACTGTGATATAATGATTTATATTGTTGCCTGACAAGTGTATTTATCCATCAGCAAAGCATTTCACTGTCATCATTTCAAAAATAATACTCAGTTTCTGCTTAAGGAATTACAAAGAAATCCTTTAAAATCCTCTATTTACAAATTTAGTTTTGCTAATTTCACAATGCAAGGCCTACCTAAAATGTTTGCTGCAGAATCAGCAGAGCCACATCGATAACCTTAACAAGTATTGATCCTGGCCTGATGTGCATTACGAAATGGAAAGCCTCTTTGGATCCTTAAAAAATGACCAGCCAGGCCAAGTTGCTCAATTTTCTAAGTTAACCACCATGCTTTTCCTCGTAAACACATAGTGCTCATCTGCAATGGAGCTATCTTCTGACAATTTCCAATGAGATTGCTTTGCAAGTTGTGAGAACATTGTTTCGATTTCATTTAAGAGAATGTATGGGAAGTAGCCCCCCCCCCTGACTTTGGAGCTGAACTGCTACATCTACATCTTCATTTTCATCTATCTGTTACAACAACACTATTGTAATTTCCACCTAAAAACAGCTGAAATAAGAAGTTGTGGCATTTCCTCTAAACATGAGACAACTGCTCAACTCCATAATTTGCATTAGCAATCAACTTCCTAAGAACTTTGCTGGCTAACCAATACCAAGTTCAAAACCAGTGTGATAAAAGTAAACAAGTAGATTGACCTGAAAGTTAGGTTTCAATCAACATAAATCTCTTGTTTTTGAAATGTTTTTTATCAAAGAACTGAAACCAACGCTAAACAAACAGTGCGATTCAATTCGTGCCAAACTATTTGTTTAGAAAAATTCATGCAATGATTATTTTATTCTTTTATTCTCTTCCATTGTATAATTTATTGTTTACACTTTTTCACATATTTTAGCGTTTGCCACATTTTATCGTCTTCAACTTGTTTCAACATATTTATGCTGATTTGGAAAACTTACTCATTTGAAAATGACCTCAGAGAGGTCGAAACGTCGTGACTTCTTAGCGCTAGCTCTTATTTCAAAGTTGATTTCTAAGAAACTACTTATAAATCTCTTGCCTATGTCAAAAAAACAAGACGGCCACCATGACTGTCAGACCTCTGACCATAGAAAGGCTCATATTCCACAGTTAACCCTTGTTTACAAAGTAGTAATAAGTTACAGTTATGATAAATCTTAATCATATGACAACTGGCCCATTAATAAGTTTAACCACCCTTTCTTGGTAAAAAGCAAGGTTGCCTGACACAAAACAAGGCCTGTCATATTTCTGTGCATCACTGCATACAACTAGAAACATTATGAGACCACTTCTAATTGGTGCAAATGGTTGATTAACATGGTGTCTTTTCTTCAAGTATCAAGAAGTGGATTTCCAGTTTCAATCCTCCCAGTTAGCTCAATAGATAGAGCACTGGACTGTTGTGCGGGAGGTCAATGGTTCGAGCCCCAGCCGGACCAATACTCAAGGTCTTAAAATAATTGAGAAGAATATGCTACCTTTCTATAACATCAAGAAATGGCTAGATATTCTACTCTTCTCAGATAGAGACGAATAAATGGAGGTCCCATCTCCTGCAGGGTTAGGGGTAGGAGACATTAATTTCCCATGCACAAGATTACTATGTGATGGATGTCCTCCCCTGGGGTGGGATGGGTTGGGATTATTTAGAGAGGGCCACAGGGTCATCAGTTTAACTACTGTCACGTGCTACCCTCTTAAAAATAAAGTCTATTCTAATCTTGTAATGGAAACTGGGGTTTCAAGGGACAATCAACTTACATATGACTGGAGTTGTTGGACTCTTAATCTGTTGATAGAACATAATCAATAACATACCCTTTCAAAATGGTGCCACATGAGGTATTTTATAGTATCCTCTGTAAATCCTTTCTTGTCGAGTTGGTGCGCTTTGATCTTAAAAGTAATAACATACACCTTTTGTAATTATGCTAGACAAGAATTCAGGTAAATTAGCTGTAACAGCTAAAAGTGCTGAAATAACTGACAATTATTCACCAAAGTGGAGTCAAGTAGTGGTGGATATTTATTGAGCCCCTAAGTGGCAAGGTACTTACACCACACTGAGGTGAATAATTTTAATTTTTTAGCACACACCACAGAGATACTAAAAACTTGGTTTATTTCTTTTAATATATTGCAAAATGGTCAGAAATTAAATTCTTGAAGTGCAATTTCGTCTCACTAGCTACTCAGAGGTGAATAGTACTTGCTATTCGCTTCCAAAGTAGCAACCAGTGTGAGCAAAGAGCACTTTTCACTTGTGTGGTATATTCTGGTTCATATTAAAATACTTATTATAATAATAATAATAATAATAAAAATAATAATAAACATAATAATAATGACAGAAATGAGAACAACAACAACAACAATTTAAAGGTGTATCAACTTCATTTCTCAAGTTAGAGACATTGAATATGTGACTAAGCATATCATTTATTCCTACATCTTAACAATGTAATATATTCTTACAAGCTATATACTTGGATATATATAATTATTAAAAACTAGATCATTGGATAATGCAATTCAAGACTTTTTATTGGCTTAGCCATTATGGTATATCAGCCAATATACCATAATGTACAAATATGGTGAGCGTACGTGTCAGCTTAAAATTAAAAGGGAGCTAAAAATTTAACAAAATTTAATAATTTAATTTAACGTTTTTAATAAAACAATTATTCCACTCGTGCTTGTTGGATATGAGATGATTATAGCCAACGAGGCGCGTAGCGCCTCGTTGGCTATCTATCATCGCATATCCAATGAGCGCTCGTGGAATAATTGTTAAATGTCATATACCTAGACTTTCACTCAACAAGATGAGCAATGTGATTAGTTGATTCTTGGTCACATGCCCCTAATATAATTCAAATGTATCCAACAGGGATACAACTATGTGGTTGCTGCCCACGTGCCAAATACAACAGCATGTTTTGGGCATATAATTGTTTAAGGAAAAGTTTGGCCCCTCAGGAAACTAGTTTAACTTAGTTTTGTTTTCCCTCAAATCCTGATGTTTCCCTCGTCTCAGAAAGCATCAGGACTCTTGGGAAAACAAAACTAACAATTTCCCTTGGGACCATACATTAAGTGTATGATGTGCAAGTCTTTTTATTCAAAATAGTACCAAACTGACTGTAACCTTCAGAGGACTGAATGGGTATAAATTTATAAGCAGCATCTTTTCAGAGCGGAAAAGAGATAGCCCAGAGAGAAGGACAACAGACATGATCCATCTAATACTAGGAACTATATCAAGAAGAAAGGCTTTTGGTCTCACTGATCTAATTATTGTCCTAGAGAACATTTTTGGCAGAGGAATCATTTTCCAAAGACCTTTCTTTTCATTGAGCACAGTTACACCACTAGACCTTTTTACTGCTACCAAAAGTTTTCCACCAAAAACATTGTACACTAAATGATGCATGCACTCACAGCTGCAGATGGTGAGATCAATAGGCTCATTCTGAGCAACCAGAATTAATTGTTGATTTTGTTACTCCAGAACTCTACATTTATTCATCTTTTTTTTTTAGTTTCATCTTGTTTACCAAGCTAAGCAGCAAAGCAAAACAAGTCCGTTTTTTTTTTTTCAGACACACTAAAAACCAAGTTGATATAAAGGGTGACTCTTCATTATTATGTACCCATACATCTTATAATTTCAGTAGGTGTCAGGACTAAATGTCACTTAATATTTGCAAAAATTAAACTGGAGCAGTGTAAGCAAGGACTCGCTGATGTACTAAATGGGTGAAGAAAAAGCTTTCTAGAGACCAGGACATTTTGGTTAAAAAAACAATCATATGACAACAAAACAGAAGCCCCATAATAATCTGGCCTTAAATTATGGCAGCATTGCAACACTGGAAATGATATCAAAATTTTGTTACATACAAATCCCTTCAAAACTAGTCAATACCTGTAAAAATTTCCAGGGGACTCAAATGCACTAAAAAATACATGTACACCACATAACAACCTTTGTGCATACTTCTCTTGCAGGGTTTTCATTAACTTTTGAAGTAGAGGGGCACTGCCTTGTGAGTAGGCGGGTACCCTAGTAAAGCTGAGGGCTGAATGCACAAACCTCTGGCGGGGGGGGGAGGGGGAGGTTTGGGGGCATGCTCCCCCGGGAAATTTTAAAAACTTAAAGTCTCCCAAGAGCAGTGACATTTTCCTGCAATCTGGAAAAGAACTTTTCTTGCAATGATGCATACTAGTCTAGTTTTAGTAATATAAAATGGTACTTTGGGAGAATTTTATTATTTTAATACATAGCCATGGCTACACCAAAACAATATTGTTGTTTTTTAGAGCCTCCTTCCTTCTTAAAGTTACAAGTTGGCTCAAACTTATGAACTTATCAAGAGAGAAACTGACAACATTTTTTAAGTTTATGAAAACTCGAAGTCAGAGCCATAATCAGAATCTTCAGCATCCAAATCTGTTAGCTCCAAGGCTTTGGAGGTTTCCTCAACTTCTTCCTCAATAGATAATACTTTCAGTCCGAGTTAGCAAGAGTTCCAAAATAATGAAGGTTCCAGACAGCAGGATTCCAGTGGTAAAATTCTCAGCGTCTATACATGTCGAAGCAGATTTTCACGTTTAAAATTTTTGATATGTTAACGCTTTTGAATGCTTTTCTAGGCTTTATCTCAAATGAAAGTTAAATTGGAACAAAGTTACTCTCAAGTTTCTTAAACCTGTTTGGAATATTTAAGCTTGAAAATCAAGAAAATGTTGGCTTTATTATTGAGATGCATGTGTTAGCTGATAAGCATCTTTCATGGCAACATTCTACTCTTGTTGTTTATTTCACATTTTAAATTGTACTTCAGACAAAGTGTTTGAGGAACAGTCTAACTAAAACAATGGAAAGCAGAGGAAGCGTTGTAACTGTATGTAATTTTTCAAAAAAGAGAACCATTCCTCCAAATCCAATAAAAACCAGAAAGCATTAATTTTCTGGGTCATTGCACTTAACCTTTCATACGCAAACGAGTGCTTGCGCATGTGGAAACAGTACAAGATTGATGAAATGCTCAAAACTAACCTTTTGACCTCTTGTATGTAAATAATGAGAAAGAATCTAGGACGCCTTGAGTTTTTCTTTTGCTTGCCATGATAACTCTGCTCCGCAGAATGCATTTGCTTTAAATGTGTGACGCATCAAGTGCCAATCAAGTAGGGACCTTAAGCAGTCAGGATGGCAACGCCAAGGAAGACTTCATTTAACCCATTAATGGCCGCAGCTTTTGTGGAAAACCGTGTTTTGAAGCTAGTCGAGCAGATTTCGGGTCACTGTTGTGGTTTTAAAAGTTCAAACTTACCAAAAACCCCTTGACAGCTCGTACACTCGACGGCCTTTCGATCCAAATGCAAAATGGCCGCCTGAAAATCTTGGGCACGCGCAGAAAGCAAAATTTGGGAGTTTTTGGGTTGAAAAGTAATGCCCCACTTATGACTTTTACTTTTCTCTCTTTCTCCTGCCCTTTGTTTCCCCTCTCCTTGCCTGAAGTTTCTCCTCACTCGCTGGAAATTTAGTAGGCTTCATTTTGGTGTAGAGATTTTGTAGGAAACTACTCATTATTTTCAAAGCACATGCTCAGAAAGGTAGGTGGGTAATGGAACAAGATTTTTGTGCAGATTTTCTGGTCAAAGTTACATGGTTTTTTGGCTATTTCTCCAATCTCCTTCACTCAATTGCACTCATTCTGGTATCATTTGTAAGATATTTTCAACCTGTTCAAGTACGTGCTCAAAGTCGTGCTCCAGGGTTAAAAGTGATGACGTCACAAGGCGTAGAAAGGGTGTGGGTCC